AAAAATACTTTCACCCCTACCATTTTCAACAGATTTGAGTGAGGTTTTTTTTGGTGTGTTTTTCCCCCTGCTGCTCCTGCATGAAATTATGGATGATTTAATAATTTCTTCAGGTACTCTAAGCCAAGTAAAAGTATTTGAAGTACTTATGATCACTAGGTCACCCTGATAGTAATTAGTCACTTTCTAAAAATATCTGCTGTAAAAAAATCAGTATTTCAAACTTCATTTAAAGGAAACTTGATTCCATCTGTTTGAAGCCTACAGTGTAATTAGTTTCTTTTTTACTTCCCTGACCTGTATTAGTGAAAAGTTGATATTAAGCATAATGATTATTAATTAATATTTAACAGTGTTTACTAGTTAACTAGGCAGATTTACACAAGTTATTATGGAAGCTCTAAGGTAAGTGGGGTTTCAGTGTGGCTTCCTTTGCCTCTCTTCTCTCTCTGTTGTTCATTTTACTAAAAAAAAAAAAAAATCCAAAAGAACAAAGGTCCTGTCCTGCGAATATCAAAAGCTATAGCTCAGGTGAGATGATATTTCTTCTCTTTCTGAAATAGTCCTTTTTCCCCCTAGCATATATGAGCATTTGCCCATCTTGAAACTTCCTGGAGACAGGATTCTCCATTTCCTTTTATTCTAGCCAGATAAACCTGTACCTTCTCCAAGTTCCCCTTCTAATTTTAATTAATGTTCTCTTATTAATCAGATATTTAACTCAGTGCCTCTTTCTCATTCCTGCAAACAGAAATGCAGTCCCTTGAATTAAATATGCGTATATTCCTTTAATGAACTTTACTTGTTTAGATAGTGATTTGAAGTCTAGTGAGTTCTTAGTAGAGCCTGTGTAAGGGAAAGCCTTCATCATGTCCACAGACCTCAGTTTTCTAGTGAGTAAAGACAGAAGTAGAACTGGTAGATTACAGTATTAGTATATGGCAAGAAAGGAGGTCCCCATGTCACAGTGTCCTTCCTTCCCCTTCAACTCACTCTTCTGGATCATGTTGCTCTATTTCTACCATTTCTTTGTAGTCATATCCCAGGGAGTCTTATCTCCTTTATACACCTCCAAGCCAATGGCCACTCCACCAAAGGCATGGGAGTAACCTATGATTGAAAGAACATACAGGATAGTTTAATCAGTATACACAGGAAAGTACTGGAGAAGAAATAGGACAAGAGGAACATGTCTAGGGTGACAGGGTCCTAGGAATAGAGCAAGTCTTGAATCTGGGTGAAAAAGATATGGTATCCTATGTCTTCCTTTGGACATTAACTCAATACTAGTGTCAACCTAAAAAGAAACTCAGAGAGACAGGCTCTCTAGAATTAGTTATTTTAATTGGGAATAGCAAGGGGTTATAACCAAGGGTGTGCAAGCTATGAAATCATAGGATCACCTGAAAAAATTAGGAACAAAAGTAGTTTTAAAAGACAAAAAGTCCACACAGACTGCCATGAAACAAAGCTCATTGGTCTCAGAAACTCATTGGAAGATTTGTCATTGGTTTATTGGGACAGTTAGCTGTTGCCAGGCAATTGTCCTGGTCCCAGTGTCTTATCTGAAATACTACTGGCCAGAGGAGATTTATGAGACAATCTCTGCTCTGTTTACAAGGTACAAAGGAGGGCTTCTTTTATGGCCCCTCCCTGACTCCATTTTGGATTCAAATGTTGACATAAGTGACTCTGTTTTGTATTGTTAACTTTCACACTACTCACTCTTTTTTTCTTGTTCACTCCTCACATTTTTTACCAGATGAAATCATTCCAATCTTTTTCCTTCCTCCAGGTAAGGAACAAGAACAAAGAGTGCAGGAGAGATTTTTTTTTAAAGAGATAACAAATGTATGACTGTCCCTGCTTCCCCTACAAACACACAGAAATGTCATCTAAGCTGTAATAAAATGTCTTTAAAATTGTCAGAAGTAAAGAAAAAGGGAAAGAAAAGAAGAAAGGAAAATTTTGCATCCAGAAACAGGGATGAATCAAAAAAGTGTGAGGATAACCTTCAGCTGACACCTGAGAAATCTCAAACGGATTTTGATTCCAAATACAATGCTTCAGAGTTCTAAATGAGGTCTGGGGTTCTAATTTCTACACAAGAACAAGATGTAGAGTAACATTTATAAAGCAAATGTATTTCACAGGGCCTCGCTTCCAAAGCCCTGTAGTTTCAGGTATAGCCTAACTTTTTAAAATTAGCACATAGGAATGTTAAGCTTGCAAAAGACAGGAAACTTTCCCCAGGCTAAAGTCTGTTGTAAATAAAGAATTGTAACACAGCAAAATTGCTGGCTCAAAGGGCAGGTGTCCTTGGTGCAGGTTAACCTACTGATATGTTGAGAAACTTACTTGATTGTTATGTAAACATACTGAGGAAATTGCTTAGGAGAAGAAAGTGTTTGCTAAGAACAAGCTTTTGTTGGTGGATTGACTTAACCTTTTGCAAATTGCATTATGGGATGTCACTTTATTTCACTGATGTTACTAATTTCCATTGTTAAAACTATACTTAGCCATAACTCTGCCCATGTCCTTGTGTTCTTTGTAATGATTAAATCAACTGAATTTTCTTGTGAAACTTCCCTATCTTTACAATAAAAGGGGGAGGCTAACTTTGAATAGGGGCTGTCACATTCAGCTTTCTCCTCCTAATGGGGAAATTACTGAAGTGCAGTCCTTCCAGGCTTCTCAATGCATTCATACTGCTTTGAGTAATT